GTGGTGTGGACTTCTGGCTGTGGGTGATAGGCTGCTTGGTGTGCTGTTTTTGTGTCACTGTTTACGTTCAATGAGTCCATGGAGCAAAAGCTTAATTTTGTCAGGGTTGTTACAGAATATGAGTTTGGCAGGGCTCAGTTGTTTATTTTCTTGTTAGTTGTTGAAGTGTGTGTGGGGTGGTTGAGGGGTTAGGTTGTGTTAAGCTTTAACACTGTAAATGACTATAGGGAATGGGGATTAACAATATTGTTTACTAACTTGTTATAAATTTTAACCTGAATCTTGATGATCAAAGAGGCGGTTCGAGGGTCTTATAGTATTGAACATTACAGAAGCTATTGCCCGAAGAGAATTGTTGTTTAGGGTGAGACAGTTGCATATAATACGCGCATTTTGTTACGATTGTGGAGGCGTGGTCGGTTTTTTGACCTCTCGTTGTTCCGTTTAGGCCACTTACTTCATTATCTACACTCTTGTTGATTGAGGGCTATCACCAAATTAATAATTAAATTTTTCATTCATCGGGCGGAGAAGACAAATTATGTTCTTAAGAAATTTATTGTTTGCTAATATAGTGAACCCATTATGTCACTAAAGTGGTGAGATCGACGAAGTATACGCTTAGCACAATGCTTGTGTATACAATTTCCTTCAGATTCACTCGCACTGTGTTTTAGTGTGCACTGTCTTTATATTCGGATAGAGTAAGAAATATAATGATAGATCTTTTCATTTTTTTTATCTTACCAAGAAAGAGATACATAATGATCACTACTTTTTGTCTTTGTACTATCATAACAATAATTTTATTTTTTAAAAGTGGATCACTATCCAACAATCTTGTAAAATCTATTATTTATATGTGTTTTTTGTATTCAAGGAATTATTCCTAAAATTTGCTTTGATACTTTTGGCTTGGTCTTTTTTTTTTTTTTTTTTTTACAAAAAAAAAAAAGAAGGAAAAACTTTCTCTCTTTTTTTGGTTTTTTTGGGTCTATGTTACCCAACAATTATAAGTTTTTAAGGCACATAGCTCTTATAATTTTTTAATTCGAATAATCATCATGGTCACTAAATTGAAGCCTGCAAGTGATCCGCACCTCCAGCTATGTTGATCCTTCGTGTTTAGAAAGAAAATAAATTAATAGAGGTAATTCTTTTACTCACATAGAGAACAGGATAATTCGGCAAGGGCTTGTTAAGATGACTATAAGTATTTGATTATTTATTTTCTAATCCTCGGGTGTGTGTGTTTTCAATTAGGCGTGGATAAATGAAGCAGAGTTTTAAAGAATCTGGATAATTGAAAATTCACACCACTTTAAATATAAAGGGTTTGTACTTTGTTTCAATTGAATCATTTGTATGATTAGGTTAAAACACAACACCAACCAAGCAATTGGAGCTCAAGACCAGATAATATTGTGTCTGATTAGTGGTGATTCACGATCATTAAAGTTGAATCTTAAGTGACTAACGGGTAAGGGAAGTCAAAAAACGTATTCGCTTTTCGTGTGAGAATGATAGAAACTTCTTTAGATTTGAAATGGAGTCCTTAGTGTTGTTTGCTCACAAGAGCTGAAAGGAAAGTCTTTTACTGTTTTTATATTTGACAAAAATTCAACTAATATAAGATTGGTACAAATTGATTTTTGTTTTATGTACCCTATTAATTACTTTCTATCTATCAATGCTCCA